GCTGCCGGAGAGCAAGGAGCCCCCAGAGTAGGACAATAACTATTGTCGTTGGGTGGTGTTTACCGGTGGTTGGGACCGTAGGGCAGATGTGAGGCTGAACTTTGTTTAAAACAAACGGTGCCTCTGCGACCGTAGGGACTGGGGGGGGGGGGGCGGGTGGAGGGCCGGCCGAGCTACAGGAGTTTTGAAGAATCCAGGCTTCCAAAATCTCTGCTAGGCCCTACCCGCACACAGGATTTAGGGTTCCAGTGGAGGGTTTCTCCTTTCTTTTCCTTCTTTCTTTTCTTTTTTAACGGGGGATCGAGGAATAATGTCCAGAGAAAGAATGAAAGAAGCTAAAAAGGGGGAAAAAAGGAAAAGTTTGATCTCAGTTTCTCCAGCATGACTTTTCTAGGGCCATTTGGGTTTCTTTCAGGGGTTAATTTAGAGCTTTGTGTGTTTGTCTGTGTGTGTTGCTAAGGTCACCATGGCTGACCGGGCTTCTGCTGAAAGGGCCTGCAAGGATCCCAACCCCATCATCGATGGCCGAAAGGCCAATGTGAATCTGGCATACTTAGGAGCGAAACCAAGGATCATGCAACCAGGTGAGAAATGTCTGCCTCCCTCTCCCCCTCCCTGAGTCCCCCCACTTATGGGTAGAATGTTTCTGGGATCCAGAAGACACTGGCTCCCTGAGAATCTATAGATGTGTCTGACAAACTTGAACTGTGGCTGATTATTCTGCTCAGGCATTGAAGATAAAAGATAAATACTCCTTGCAGCATTTGAAATGTATCTGTGTTCCAAAAGAGATCTTGAGGTCTGGATAGTTTGGAAAGACACAAGAGTAGGGCTTGATTGGTCTGTTTCCTATATGGTATGCATTTGTAGTCTGTTCTCAATGTTCCAATTTTTAGCTAGCCACTTGTAGCTAAAAACGTGAATTATGGGGATTGTGTGGGCCCAGTTTGTCGACTGCAGCTAGTGCACCTCCATGCTAAGTGTGGTCTCTGCTTTTCTCACCAGTTGAGCAGAGCTCAGAGAAGGTAGTCTGACTTGAACACTGACCCCAGGGAGCAAAGGGATGGGGGTGGTATTGTAAAGCTTTAACGTAAAATCACAGAATACTAGCCAAGAAAATAGAGTGGCATTAACTACTCGTGGTTCAGAGTTTTTAAAATGATGCTTACTCGGAGATGAGAAACAGTTTATTTGAAGTCATGAGCTGTTAGATGCCAAAGCAAGCAGCAGCAGCTTTTCCATGTGAGGACTTGACCTTTTGGATTATTTGCCACACTGCCCTTTGCATTAGCGCAAATAATCAAGGGTTGACTATTGTATTGAGCTAATTATTTCCTTGGGCAAGTAGGAGGAGCTTGCTTTTATTAATTTTAATACTGTAAACTGTAAAACCCATAATTTTTCAAAGCATTGTCCAAAGCTTTCCAGAATGTCCCAAGTTACAGAGTTTTTAATGGATCCTGGTTGAGAACTGTAGGAATATTTGTGACATGTAACTTCATTGCCAAGTCCTGTTGTTCTTGTTTCCATTTCATGAGCATTTTTCTCAGTCTCATTTTCCTATGGTCTTACTCTGTATCTGTCAACTAAACTTTGCAGTGTCTTTTAAGTTTCCATTTTTAGTCTATTAAAACCTTTAGTATCTATCAATGATAACATTTATAAAAATAAATTTTAAAATATGTACACATATATATTCTCTAAAGTATCGCAAAAAGATGCTTCTTTTTTTAATCAAAAGTTGGGACTACATTTTACATGTAGGAGCAGTAAGTGTTTGTCCATGCACAAACAGAGAATGTGTTATGTTTTTATTGTTAGGTTTTGCCTTTGGTGTTCAACAACTTCATCCAGCCCTCATACAAAGACCTTTCGGGTAAGTTGATGCCAAGGTGGCTGTCGTTCATTAATCTGCCTCTTTGTTGTATACAGCCAAGATCAACATGTCACAAAATGTTCCTGGTTGTGCATATTTATATATGTTTGTGCATTTTTAATTAGAATACTATAAATATTTTTAGACGAGTCAAGTTATCTGACCCAAGTATGCAGCCTGCAAACCAGACAAATGTTGAGCTTAGGGTTAACAAAACAAAACAAAACAAAACAAAAATACCAGGTATGACTTGTGTACCAGATGACTGTATCCCATCACCATTACTACTGTTCAACTTGACTCAATTGTATTTATCTCTTTCTAACCTGACAGGGCTCGTATACAGTTAAGCTAACTGATGAGAAGGATACCATGATAAGAGGTGGAATAGTTCTGTTTGGAATTAAACTCTGTAACCGGTAGACTCAGACACACAAGCTCAGATGGTGATTAACGATGCATGGATGTTGGTGGTGTTGTTTTATTTTTCACAATAGTCAATAGCCCTCCGTGTGCTTTATTTTATTTATTACAGTCATGAAGTGGTGTTGTTAGCTAAACTGTGTGCTTTTTACTTAATTGAAAAGAGCTGTAGTAAAAGTTTTCTTTTCCTCGGGGAAGGGGCTCTTTGCGTTTTGGTTTTGGTGGTGGTGTTGAGGAGTGTGGACTTTTCTCTTTGCCATGGGGAGCAAAGGGCCTTTTTTTCCCCCCCTGCTTTTTAAGCTATAGCCTGTGAATTCCACTTAACCATATTTTTGTAGTGAGTGCTAAATTGTGTGATTTCTCTCTGTAAGAATACAGATTCATTGCTTGCATGTCCTAAGTTTCTGTTTTATGGAAAGTTGTCTGGGAATGGGGTTCTTTCTTTTATAATGTGTATCCACTTTTAGGTCTTCTAATCTAAAGGTTCAACAGCTCTTATCATTAACACTAGCCAGTTGTGGTTTTTGTTTTTGTTTTGAATAGCACAGCGCTAACTTCCTCCTTTCAGACCTAACAGGTGCTCATATTTGTGTTACCGCTGGGTCCTGTCATTACCAGCTTTCCTGTTCTGAGGTCTCCAGTTCCTTTCCATTTAGACATAATATGAGTGGGAGGTCACCACCTACAATTTTCCTGGATGCTAGAGTCTGTTTGGGCTGTATTTTACCTGCTCAATATTCCTGTAATCCTAATGCCAGAGATTTAAACTTCCTTTTCAAATGTTCTAGTTGTTGAAAGTATTTTACCCTCAGTACTCATTTCTACTCTAGCTTCAGACATAAACATTTGCATATGTAATCTGGAAGGCTGGAATCTGTCTACATAGATTCTAACATATGAGTCTTCAAGAATTGACCAAAAAAAAAAAAAAAAAAAAAGGTAGCAATTTGACTTAAAATAGTCAAGTTATATTTTCCATGAACACTTTCTTATCACCACCTGCCCTTTGCCATAGCAGGACCTTACTCTTATGGCCTAATCTGACTTGTTTTAACTGAAGAGTCTTTTGTCCAATATGATTAAAAAGGGCCCATATGCATAGTTATATATCAAAGTCTCCATCTAAGCCAACCTAGATACTGCCAACGAATGATGGGTTGATGGATCTACTACTGCATTGGTCTAGACAGATATTAGTATATGTTCATTTTTTTCATTGTGCAAAATTAAGAAATTATGCATTCGTTTGGGAAGCAAAAAATACAAACCAATCAAGGATCACTAATTTCGGAATGACTTGGTATGGTTTCAACTACAAATGGATTTCAGAGTAGCAAGAAAACAGTTGATTTGGAAGGATTGGACAAGGCTGTAGTGGGGTGAGGTAGACTTGAACTTGATGTAGGCCAATGGGCAGGTTAAAGGAAGACTGAATGTGTCTGAAGGGTGCAAGGTAGAGAGTATGAACAAAGGCATGGAGGAGACAAGACTTGGTACATGGCGAAACCAGACTAAATGGAAGGTCTTGACAGCTAGACAGAAACACCTGGCCTAGTTGTGATTGTCCTTAAAGATCCTTGAGAAAGAAAGCACCATGAGGAGAGCGAGAGCCACCAGAGAAAAATGTGTCACATGGGACTTTTAAATCAAACATGTTTTGATAGTAATCTTATGTTTCTCACCTCTTCTAATATTAACTGGCTTTATAAAGGATGGTAATTATTACTGTGTGCATGAATTGTTTGCACTTATTAGGAACATATAGCATTCCAGGTGGACCAAGTCATCTTTCTCTTTCTTTTTTAAGGGATTCTCAACTCTGCTGTAGTTCTGAGTCTGTACCCAACAAATCACACTTGATCATCCTAAATTTTATTTGACTGCCACATATTCTTATTTTAGGCCTGGAAAGAAGCTTGAGAATTTTAAATTCTGACTTGTTTGAAATTCTAGCAGTGAAACGATTATTTCAATGTGGTCCTTAAATGGCCCCAGCTTACCCTGGGTCTTCGAAGACAAAATATTGACCTGAAATAATTTCTGATTTAGCATAGTGAGCAGACGTAGAGAACCTTGTAAATTTGCTCCATAATACCACATAAATAGCTTGTTGTTGAAGGCAGCATTTTCTTATTGCAGCCTTAGACAGGAGAGTACAGATCTGTGAAGACAAATTGCTGGACTAGTTTAGGTCAGGTTGAACATCGACATAAGCATTTACTCAGTACGTATTTCAGTGCCAGGTTTTATGCTAGGTGAGATACCCTTATGCTAGATATTTATTATGTCCCCTATGGGCAGAGGGGCAGGAGGGATGGTTAACTAATGTTTACCCAACATTTGCTACGTGATACTGAAAAGGGATTTACATAAATAATATAATTTAATTCTCACAATGAGTATTTGAAAAAGGAACCATTCCGGTTCTTTCCATGGGCAAAACAAACAAATGAACAAACGAAAAACTAAGATGCAGGAAGCTTAATTAACTTTCTCCAACCACGGGGACTAGTAAGTGTTCGAGTCTGATTCTAGGTTCAGAATCACGTTCTGCCAGAACTCAAAAGCTGTGTGGAAGATGTGGGAGAGAGTTACAGATCAGTGGGTTCAGAACTCTTCATGAAGTAGGAATTGGCCTAGATGTTATAGGAAGGTGAGGATAAGGAACTCTTTCATAGAACACCCAATATGCTTATCGTTGTAGGTTCTCCCCACAGATCATTTTATTTAATGTGCAGCAGCTTGGGATTGATAATTTTAGTCCATTTCACATATGAAAAATGCAAGACTAAAAGATGAAACAAATTTCTGAAGCTGTACACATAGTGAATGCTAGAGCTAGGGTGAAGGGCTTGGATTTCAGCAGGCCGAGGTGGAGTGAGGAGTGGCACCCCAGATGACGGACGGACCGGTTGACAGAACCAAGGCAAAGACCTGGGATTCTGTGGCATTCCAGGAAACTCTGAGGACCACAGGTGACTTGGATTCAGAGAAAGGTGGAAAGAAACACTAGCGGTAGTTTAGGCTCAGGTGCATAAAAGGCCTAACATGCCAAGATTCAAGAAATGTGCACATCGGTTGGTTCTGTGAGGTTAGGGGCCGAGGACTCCTTTGAACAAATGAATGAGATGATACTTTGTCAGCAGTTTTGTTCAGTAGATTGGAAGGGGAAGTCAGCATGTTGCTTCAAAGTCACAGAGATGTCAGGGCCTGAAGAGATGAGAAGAGAAAGAATGGGTGGTAACTTTTCTTTGAAAATGACCCAAAATAGTGTCTTTGCTCTTCTGCTTTTGTGCTGCTAGGCATATGTTAATTGCAGGAAATGATATTGTTAGGAATGTAAATTGGCTCAGTGGGTTCTGTCGACAAAAGAACTCCTAATGCAGGAATTGGTTTCCAGTGTGCCCTCACCTTTAGTCCATCCAGTTCGGCCTTCCTTCCTGACCCGAGATAAGTTAGGCTCTCCCTGGCCTCCTGCCTTCTCCCTTTCCCTAAGCCTCAAGAGCCCTAGCTTTTCATTTGCCTTCCAGACATCTTCCTTTCCCTTGCTAGAGTTCATGTAGGCGTCTGATCCACCCCCAAAATTATACTTTCATTGGTTGTCTTTATCAACTCTGAATTATTTCTTAATGGAAAGTAAATGCAGAAATAAGAGTCCTCTAAGCAACCCTTCCTATATGTTAATGCATTTTTTTCAAATGCATACCACAGAGAGAGAGAGAGAGATTGATTTATCCTGCCTTTTTGTAGAATAATTTCTTTTCCGTTGACTCCCTTATTCAAAGACAGGAACCTAACAACCACTGTGTTGTCCTTGAAACTTTAGGAGTCCAAGGGGTTAATGTTTCAGTATCAGTAAGGCTCATAGTGGCTGGCCTTTGCAGCTGATAGATGCTTTACTTTGGCCTTATAAAGACATTTTACTCGCTGGAAACCCTGTCGCATGACAGGATCAAAAATAGCCCAGCTGCAGCCACTGCTGTCTATCACCACATGTAAACTGGCAGGGGAGAAGGCTCTCTTAGCCGTGTCTCCACGCTGTGGACATGGCAGCTCCCGGGACAGTGTTTCATAAAGCCACACCTGTCGCTGAGAATGAGCCCATCGCCTGATCTGCAGCAAAGTTCTGAGTGTGTGCATGACTGCGCATCTGGTTTCTGATAAGCAGCTAAGAACATCTCTAAGTGTCCTCAGAAACACTTGATGACGTCGTTTCTCCTGGCACCAGGAAAGATCTACAATTCTAGTAACATTGAATGTATTTTTATCACTGGGGTCAAAGTTCACTACCCTCTGATAAATTTATCTTTTCCATAGATGTTCGTTAATGAATGCTTTCAGTAGAATTCTGGAAAGGCAAAGCAAAATCTATGCCTCTGAAAAATCTAAATAATGAGATCTTGTTTTGAGTTCTTTAAAATTTGAAGATTGTTACTTGTGCTTCTACTTCTTATAAGTTGGATTGTTGATAGCCAGATAGCATTCTAGTGTCATATTTTTAGATCGATGGGGGTTTTTTGATGGAGACTATTTTAAAGAAAGATGAAAATAAATATTTGAGTTAGTGTTTTATAAATGAACAGTTATGAATCGCAGGAGTGAAAATTAAGATGCATTTTTTTTACATCTCTCTTATGATTTATTTTTTAACCAAATTAACTTTTAAGTAAGGTCGTTGGAGTCTGTCTTGTATGTGATCTGTGAATGTATAATTTTAAAAGGTCCTTGGTTTTGTTTCACTCTCTTAAACTTTTGCAGGATAATGCATAATCATACAGTTGATTCTTACAAAGTATTAGCTGGTAGGGCAGATTGAAAACAGATATGCTAATAGATCTATTTCTGTTGATCTGGAGAATAAGAGTTAGTCAGTGTGCAGAATGTTTCCTTACAATGTATGCCTTTTACATTTCTGTCAACTTTAGCAGAATTTAGTTGTCTTCCCTGCCCTTGCCTTTTCCCTCACCCATACCATGTCCCCAATACCCCTTCTGTCTGTCTTGCATAGAGATAAACAAGATGGCTGACGCTCAGGTGCCTGGTGGTCAAACAGGTTTGGTTGACCATTGTGTTCTTATGGATTTTATGGAAAAATAAAAGAGAAAGAAAGAAAGTGTGCTGCACAACTCTTTGGGAATCACTGCCATGAATGTTAATAGCATTTTTGTAGCTTCCCACAACAGCCTCTTGTGACAGAGTGAGCTGCACTACAGTTCGTTTGAGAAGTGTGATTCTGCTGTGTTTACCACACTTGTGAACTTTTAAACTCCTTTTTTATTTTGTCGCCTGCTTCTTTTTTTTAATTATAATTTTTAATAAGGGTGACTGAGGTTGCAGAGAGATTAATGTGTGCTGAGTCTGCATAGCAATTTCCAGTAGGGTTGCCATGATAATAGCTATACGGACTTTGTGGAAATTTTAGTTTTGACAAACTGGCCATTGTCCCCACAGGACTGAATGATCACATACTGTATTGCTTTTGAGTCTTATATTCATAGCTATGAATTTTTCCTTTTGGTAACCATTTTTCTTACATGAACTCCATACAAATTTTCCTAAAGACTTACTTCATTAAAACTTTCTTATGTGTGCACAGCCCTCACCAACCTCGATTTATTTTCCAAACTTTGCACCAGTGATATTCAATAAGTCTAAATAATCCTAAGGGCAAATTTTAGCAGGGAGAGAGTCATCCTGTTTTCAGGGTTGAATTTGTTTTGGGGTGCTCCATGACTTTGGCCAGAGTGCTTTCAATGGACCACTAGAAAGATATTGTGGCAACCCTATGCTCATAATAACCACTAAATTTGAGTTTGTCTCATCTCTGAACAACAAATGCTGTAGATAGGAGGTGATGGCTGCCTGACTTTGTCTCCCGTTTCTCTACAGGATACCTGCCCACTACGTCTACCCGCAGGCTTTTGTGCAGCCTGGAGTGGTCATTCCTCATGTCCAGCCCACGGCAGCTGCGGCCTCCACCACGCCATACATAGATTACACTGGAGCTGCATATGCACAATACTCAGCAGCTGCTGCCGCCGCAGCCGCCGCCGCTGCCTATGACCAGTACCCCTATGCGGCCTCTCCAGCTGCTGCAGGATATGTCACCGCTGGAGGCTACGGCTATGCTGTTCAGCAGCCCATCACCGCTGCTGCACCTGGGTCTGCAGCTGCAGCCGCAGCAGCAGCTGCCGCCGCCGCAGCCTTTGGCCAGTATCAGCCCCAGCAGCTGCAGACAGACCGAATGCAATAGAGCAGCCATCTGATCAAAGTTGAATTGTTTTCTCATTCCCTCCCAAATTTCCAATTTTCAGTAGCTGATGAGAGAGTTAACATTGACTTAACAGCTTTAAAAAAAAAAAAAACAGTGATGCTATTGTGAAGCAGAATTCTTATTTTTTTTATACTCTAAGTAGTGTCCTAGATGAAAAAGAGATGAGAATGAGGGGCCTGGGCGCAGTTTTGGAAATCGATCCCAAAGAGCCTGAGTAAATGGAAAGGCTGCTCCGTAACGAGTGACAGCAGGAGTACCAATGGAACTTCACTTTTGTAATGGGATTTTTATTTTTGCTCTTTTCATAGTATCAGGGAAGCAAACTGCCTTTCACGAGTTAGAAAATGCTATTTGAATCTAGTTGAACCAGGGAATATAGAGAGAGCAATATGTAGCTTGAATTACGCTTAAAGCAGATTTTTTTTCTTACCAACAAAACGGCGAACGCACTGATTGTCATTTTTAAGCAGTCACTACAGCCTATAGAACTTTTTCAAGGAAGAAGGTAGTGTCCATACTATCTCAACAATGGGCATCGAACAATCAATGTAGGAGCGTGGCGGTGGGTACAATGGTGGACAGGCACCAAAGCTATTTTCTCATCTGCTCTGTGGACAAGTGGGACCGTGGAGCAAGTGATGTGGAATTAATGGGTGCAACAGCTGTACAGACAATCAATAACACACGCAGCTCTGGAAAGAACCCATCACTTGTGCTTGTTTGATGAGCTTGTCACATTCTAATCCCTCTCCCCATCCTGTTTCAATTTTGGGAAACTTGTATCTGCTGGTGTCAGCAATTCTGATCTCTAAACAGGATCAGGCATTTACTACAACAGCCTTCTCTTTCTATTTATTGTCGACTTGGGACTTGGGAATAAAGGCAGGTGAAGTTTGCAGACGCTGAACCCTTAAGAACTGTCTTAAGGACGTTTATTTTTCCCCCCTTTTTAAATAATTTTACACTTTTTAGTATCTATCTCAGAGTCCTATTTAAAACTATTTATTAGTGAATACAATACCTGAGACAACAAGGTTATTGAGATTACAATTCTTCAATGGTTAATGATAATGTGGTTTATACTGTGCCTTAATAGTAATGCTATTTAAGATATTTATTTTTAAGTTTTACTATGCTGCACTCTAAAGAAAGGAACTTTAGATGTGACACTGTAAAATTATGTATTCATCTCATGGCATAAATTATTTAGTAGGTCTAGATGTAGCATATTAAATATTAACCTATTCAACTAAAGATGTTGACTTGGATTTATTTAAATTCATATGTGCACTGTATAAGAGAATACTTTTACATTAACACATTTTAGTTTATTTTAGTCAAGTTTTTTTTTTAAACAAGCTACATTGCTAGTTTCTTGCTTCCTTCTCTGATTTTTGCTTGTGTAGATCTCATTGGTAATTCATCGCTGTAACACTATTCTTATGTAGTTTGTGTAGTTTTTAAATGCTGCTTTACATTTTTTCTTCTGAAACTGCAATACTTGCAATTTTTATTCTTAAACTAAATTGAATACTATTTTACACTGTATTGGATTTTTATACTTGAACAATTTCATACAAGGGAAGACAGGTTAGCATTTTTATGGACTTTCTCCATCGTCACTGGATTTACTTTAAGTATTCCCATACTAGACAGTGTTATGTAATGTAGACATGACTCTCCTGTGCAGATTATTTATTCATTGTGTATATTGCTTTATAACATTTCAGATCTTCTAATCTATTCACTTGTATTAAATATAATTTTTAAAAACTTCTGTTGCAGTGTTTCTAATTCTTTAGTAAAGGTGAATGAGTTCTCCTCTTAACTAGTAGCAATAGCCATGATTCTCGTGTAACTTTTTCTCAACAAGCATGAAACTCTGCTGTGTGATTTGGTTTTTATCTCTTTAAATTTTACTAAATATCCACTGCATATAGCAGATGAGAGAGGGCATCCCTCGAGGTAGACCTCAAAGGACTATTCAGATCACTGACCTTCAGTGAGCAGAAGATGGCTTGAAAGGAATGGGTTGTAGTGGGGACCAGTGAACCACAAGCTGGATCGGCACAGTGGTGCTGGGGTTGGGTAAACTGAGGTTCAGAGCTAGATTCTACCACTTTCAAGTGATGTGAATGGAGAAAGTTGCTTTTTGTAACCCACGTTTAGGTGACTTTTTAATATCTATCATACGAATATCATATTGGGATGATAATACTATTACCAGACTTCTGAGGTGCTGTCCTCTTTCTAGGCATCCCTTCCAGACTCTTGTCCTAAACAAAAAATTGGACAAAAAAATGAAGTGGTGATTTATACATTTGTTAAAGGTAGGAGAAGAAGTATGTTCTGCAGAGTGAGTGTGGGCCAATTAAGGGTAGGAAAAAAAAATATGCTCTGCAGAGCACAGAGCAGGCCACTGAGAAAGAAAACAGTAGTCATGAGGCCAGTGACTACCACCTTTTTATGTACCTCATCTGAGGTCAGATCTAGATTTTCCCATCAAAAACATCCTTGATCTTGAGCCAGAAGAATCGAAGATAGCATTCTCTGGTTGGTACAGATGCAGCTGTTTTGTGCCTGTGTCCTGGGTCTCTGTGATTGATAGGTCATTCCCTCTTGCCCAGCCACTTTGCCACATCCTAATCACCTGCCTCAGTGCCAGTCTCATATGGTCATTTAAATATTGAAATATGCCAATTATTTGCCACAGAGCCAATACATAGTGGCAGTTGTTCTAACGCCCAATAGTGGTAACTAACTGAAAAGGAAATCATCTACTTGAATATTTTCATTTTTTGATTTCTCCCCACAATGATGGAGTATTACCTAATAAGGTGTGTGGTAGACCATCAACTGAGCTTCATATTGATTGTATTAAAACATATATGTTATGCTAATTATAGGATGGCTCTTTGTTGATCTCTTGATTCCAATATTTCCCAAGTTCATGATATATCTTTCCTTGAACTCCATTAGTTTTCGATAATTGCAAGCAAAAGAAAACTGATGGCAGATTCCATATCACACTTTGTATTTTATAATTGCCATTCCATTTAGAGCTGTCACAGACTCAGTTTTAATTGCCTTTAATTTTCTAAGGAAAAATAGACACCAGCTTATCCCCAAGGAGAGGTATTATTGCACCCCAAGGTATTACCTAGGGTAAGTAAAATAATTTCTAAGCTACTCAGTTCAGCCAGTGAACCAATGACTATTTTATTCCAAAAGACATATTATAATTTCCAGATTTATGAAGGTCACTTTTTGTCCTCAATAAGCTATCTATTGCTGAACCTGAAGCAGTATTTATCAATCAGAAATATGTCGGTCATACAGTTCTGGGAAAAGCTTGTCAGGAAAGCCAAAACCACCTCCTGGGTGGACCTTTCTTCAGGGTGTTTCCTGGTGTATACTAATAGCAGTATTATCGGCTCTAAAGACATGACAAGATTGTTACTTTGTAACACTAAGGCATACATCTCTAAACAAATAGATGTTTTTAATAACAAGAGGAGAGCAGAGCCATAAGATGACGTCTTCACTGGTTTAGCAAGCAACTGAGAGAGAGTAATATGTCAGATCCAAGGTTCTGGGTGAGTCCTGGCTTCATACCTACAAGTCCGGCAATCTTAAATCTAGAGTGGTAGAATGTGAGTTGATGATACCCGACCTAGTTGTCTAGCTACCTCTCAGGTTGTACTGGCGAAATGAATGCCACGGTTTGAATATGGTTTGTCCCCTCTGGAACTCATGTTCAAATTTAATCCCCATTGTGAGATATTAAAAGTTGGGACCATGTAGAACCTTTAAGAGGTGATTAAATGGAAGGGAACAAATGGAAACAAAGGTTTTTGTACATAGGGAGGGGAGGAGCCTTAAGGGGGGAATGGGATAAAATAAAATTTATTTATTTATTTATTGTTTGTTTGTTTGTTTGTTTGTTTTTTGGTACCAGAGATCGAACTCAGGTCCTTGCGCTGCGCAGCAGGTGGCAAAACCACTGAGCTAAATCCCCGGCCCTAAAATTTATTTTTTTAAATAAAAGAGGTGATTAAGGCTCTGCCTTCACGAATGGATTAACCCATTCATGAGATTAATGGATTAATGGGTTATCTCAAGATGGAGTCTGCTGTACAAGCCAGTTTGGTAGCCCTCTTGTGCAGCACCTGTCTCTAGCCATGAGGTACCCTGTTCCACCTCAGTCAGGATTCTACCAGCAGGAAGGTCATCACCGGATGTAGGCCCTCAACCTTGGGCCAGACCATGAACCAAAATGTACCTCTTTTCTCTGTAATGGCTGTAGTCTGTAGTATTGTGTCACCAGCAGCACAAAATGGACTAAACCAATGAATTAATTGATAACAGCAGACTAGAGAATTCTTAAAGCCTTTGGACAAATGGAATTACTGTACTGAGATAATATATACACTTGCTTTGGTAACTGATTTCAATGATCTCGTTAAGTGACCTTCCCAAAACAGGGCAAAATTATATTTCATGCTGTCAGCGACACCACAATGAAATTACAGCTAAACTTGTTGTATAGTAACAGCAGCGCAGAAGTGACACGGAGAGGTAGATTAGCTGGGGAAGGGGAGGTGGATGGAAGATTATGGAATACATTTCTCTCACAGAGGAACTATATTTAGTCCTTTCCTTGCTCCTGTCAAATATTGTTCTTCTTAATTCCTTGTGAGGCTTGAAAGCCTTCATTAAGATGACAGCCTGAGGTTTGGAGGGGCAGAGGTGAGGACGCACAAAAAAATAAATACATGCATTTTCATGCTTACTTTTGTCCTCTCTTCTCCTTCAAGAGTTCCAGGCTGTTTCCATGGAAATTCTAACTTTGTTTTGCTTAAGCACTCTGTACAGAAGAGATTTCATTTTGAGTATTTATTCTGTGTTGAATTTTAGAAGTGCAATCGTGATTTTTTTAGCTAAATCATTTCAGCTTCAAGCTTTTGTGTTTTTTTAATTGATGTAATAATTGCACATATTTAAGGTGTACTGTATGACGCTTTTTTACACATATATACTGTGTAATGTTCAAATCAGCAATTAGAGATATTGCTGATATTATCTAGAGATATTATATCTCTCATCTTAAGCAGTTATCATTTCTGTGTGGTAAGAACATTCACAATCCTCATTTCTGGCTATTTAGAAATGGACAGTACATTGTTGTTAGCCATACTCACCCCACTGTGCAATAGAACATCAGAACTCATTTCTCCTAAGTAACTGTAACTTTATGCCAATCTCTCCCCAGCTACCCTCCCTACCGACCACCCCAGCCCTTGGAATGAATAGAACCACCGTTCTCCTCTCTACTTCCAGAAGATCATTTATTTTAGACTCCACGTGTGGGTGACAGGCATGTGCTGTTTGTCCTGTACCTGGCCTATTTCACTTAAAATAATGGCCTCTAGGTTCATTGATTTGTTGAAAAAGACAGGATTCCCTTCTATTCTATGACTGAATAGGGTTCTACTGTGTATATATAATATATTTTTAAAATCTATTCATCTGTTGATGGACATTTAAGTTGATTCTATATCTTAGCTATTGTGTGTAGTGTTGGAATAAATATAGAAGTGCAGATGCTCCTTTGGTATGCTGATTTAGTTTCCTTTGCCATGATAGGATTACTAGATTGGGTGGTAGTTCTAGTTAGAATTTCTTGAGGAACCCCTTTTCTGTTCTCCATACTGACTGTAATAATTTACATTTCCATCACAGTATAGAAGAGATCCCTTTTCTTCACATCCTTGCCAGCTTTTCATTTTTGTCTTTTTGATAAGAGCCATTCTGAGAGGAGTTGATATCTCATTGTGCTTTTGATTTTCATTTCCCTGAGGATTATTGATGTTGAGCATTTTTGATATTCCTATTGGAAATTCCAAGCTTTGAAATCATAATTAGAAAGAAATCAGACAATGTGTATGTAAGTCCTTTAAAATATTTAGAAAATTAGTTTTTTCTTATTACACAGTATCTGGTCACTCTTGACCAGTTTTTTCAGGGTTAAAGTCCTCTGTCCAGTCACTCGTCTCTCAGATGATGAATATCATTGCTTTTTTTAATAACCAATGTGCCACCACTAAGCTATTATTATATTTTAAGTGGATTTTGGGGTGCACATTGTTGACCATTCTGCCTCTCTTAGTGGTAGTTCCAGTTATGTTAGAGCATAGATTGAGTACAAATCATTATTTAATAGTTAATAGTTCCAGTAATGCATTTGTGAAAGGGCAGATATCTGAAACTGACTTCCAGCATGAATTTTAAATAGAAAAACACAGTTTTGCCAAGTAAAAAGTCGTGTTGTAGCTATGTTTTAATATTACTCATTCATCCTTTTCTGGTGGTACTAGAGATTGAACATGGGGCCTGAGCAACATCCCCAGACGGTTTTGTTTTGTTTTTGAGATAGTGTCTCACTACGTTGCTAAATTGGCCAAGCTGGGCTTGAACTTTTGATCCTCCTGCCTCAGCCTCCTAGCCTGCACACCAGGCCCAACAAGATCTATCTTTAGACAATACTCATCTGACAGTGCCAACCAGGTAAGAACTTGCTTACTTCTTAAATATTCCTGACTCTGCCCCGTCCTTGCAGATGCCTCAAGTGAAGCAAAAGAGATACAGAGGATGCTGTTCAGAGAATCTTAGGGTACACACTTCTCATTCTGGCTTCACTTATGTACAATTTAAAATTTGATTTAAAAAGGAGTATGAAAATAATGAAGACAATCATTAACATCAAAAATCATTAAAATCAAAAGCATCTCCTAAAAATAAGCAAAAAAGAGGATGAGATAGGAGTCCTGGGGCCTGGATTGTGTCGGGTGAGCTTGCCACCAAACAGTCCTCATGGAAAGAGGGGTTGGCCCTCCGCTGAGTGTCGGAAGATTGGGCTCTGGGCACTATTTAAAGAATAGTAATTAAGTACATGGTTTCCTTCTGCTTTCCAGTTAATTAAATACACTTAGGACAACAGCTGAATTCTTTTTAGAATTTTTAATTGACAAATAATTGGATGTATTTGTGGAAAACAGCGAGTGGTTTTGATATATGTGCACATTTGGGAATAATCAAATCAGCCTAATTAACATATCTGTCACCTCATATACTTCTCATGTCTTTGGGGTGGGAACATGTACAATCTACTCTTTTTGCAATTTGGAAATATACAATACATTACAATGACAGCTACCTTGATAGATTATCAGAGTGCAATAGATTATCAGAGTTTATCCTTCCTAACCTAAACCTTGTACCCTGTAACAAACATTTTCCCTCTCCTAGCCTAGCATACCCACAAGCCCCTACTAGCCACCATTCTACTTTTTACTTAGAGTTGAACTTTTCTTTTGATTCCACATATAAGTGAAATCATGACATATTTGTCACTCTGTGTCTAGCTTTTTTCACTTAGTATAAGTCCTCTGCATTCATCTCTGGTGTTAAAAAAGGCAAAATTCCATTATTTTAAAGGCGGGGTAGGATATTGTTGTACATATATTTATTTTCTTTACCCATTTATTTGTTGATGGGCACATAGATTGGTTCCATATCTTGGGATTGTGAGTAGTGCTGCAGTGAACGTAGGGATGCAGCTATCTCCTTGATACAACTGATTTCATTTCCTCTGGCTGCATGCCCCAAAGTGGGATTGTTGGGTCATATGGTAATTGTATTTTTCATTAACACCTGAGTTCTTGAGCCGTGTTTGCAAAGGTTTAGACATATTTTAAATGGAGCATATTCTTTGTAATTGAAAAATTTTTGAAACAGGCAATTATTACACCTCTAGCAGGTTTCAATATAACGTGGTCATAGACCTTGGACCTCCAAGAACAGGGAATGTTGCCATTATTATGTTGTAGCTATCATAATTTCTCATTTTAAGCAGATAAGTCAGAAAAGGGGGAAATTAAAGAATATTTATGCACCTTGCTATCACAATACTTTGATTTAACATCTTTAAAATGTCATCTGTAGTTTAGAAACTTGGGCTCTTCACATCTGTATTTGTATGTGCTGTGCAGACTCTGACTCAATGCTGGCCTGGTCTTGATGGCCCTTTAGAGAAATAATAGGAATCTTGCGATGGGTGGCCGTGCACCTACTACTCACCTACCATGTCCCAGATACCTGGATTTAATCCTCATAACAATGAAAGGTAAACAAAACGATCCCTATTATTCAAACAAAGAGGGTAAAGGCAGCACTTAGGATCCTGCCCAAGGCCATGGTGTCGGGATGGTGCAGAACCTGGAATTCAGTCTGGGTCAAGTGAAATCAATGTCATATGCACACCAGCTCATCATGCTGCTTTGATCTCTCCTTTTTCTATGACCCCTTATGAGCTTCCCTTGTGGTTCCTTAGATCTTCTAGTTCTAGTTTTCAATCCCCTATCACACCAAAGCAGGTAACCTCTGATTTCATGCAGGAAAATTCCTGCATGGAGGTTAGCACTGTGGAGGAGGTTGAAAACAGAAGAGCCCAAAGGAGCTTAATTAGCCTTTGGTGGTACCCTAAATGCATTCCATTCATTCCTAACCACTCTTGAATCTGCTCTTGATTTTCAGCTTGACTTCTAATTGTACTTTTTGTACCTGCTTATCACCAGGAGACCACATTTAAAATATTCTTCCATTGGAAATCTTCCACACTTTGTCTCCTCCATCAATAATATTTTCAAAACACTTTCTATACTTTGTCATCTACCATGTTTAGCAAAGTTGAGCCAATGCCCTGTGGAAAGACTATAGGTTGAAAAGGTGCAACTGAGCAAATGTGAAGTTAAAGGAAGAATCTGAGAGTATCTGCAGTTACAAAACCTTACCTCACAGATTCTGTGGCTTGACTCTCTGGATCTTTCTCTCCCTCTCTCTCTCTCTCTCTCTCTCTCTCTCTCACTCGCT